AAGAGAGAGAGAGAGACGAGGGGTTTTTATTAATTTCACGCTCCATATGTTTATCGGGCGTTGTGCCGAAGCACGCCCCTCGTACGTTTAAGGTTTGGTCGTTCGCTGCTACCGAAGTGGCGTGTAGGCCTGATTTTGCTGAACTGAACCGCAACCTTTGTGGTCGAGGGGCATTATTATTACTGATCCTAATCATCGTAAGGGGAGATGTATTGGTGAGATAAGGAGGAAGAGGATAGAGAAGAGCTCACAAGTGGATGAATAATGATCGGGCAGAGAATAGTGAAATGCGTCATGTGAAGATTGTTGAGGATCACCCTCCTCATGAGTCAGTGGAACTCGGCGGAACAGTCCTCACAGGAGTGCTTTTTGCTCGTGTTTAGTGAAGAGCATGACAAAATCAACTCAGGGAAGCAAAGATAAACGGCGCCAGTTCGTCAGTTCTGTATGTAGGTACTCATCAGGATCCTGACAGTATTCCCAAAACTTTTATAACCTTTATGATTCCATGTTCGATGTCCACACAGTGAAGGACCAACTGCAGCGGGAGAACCACCTTTTACCTATCACATCTGTACCAACCACTGACTTGGTCTGTGCTACACTACTAGACATAAGTGACCTATTTGGTGACCTTTTGCAACTTGCTCACTGAGAGATGCATGATCTGAGAGATGTGCAATGTGCCCAGTCGTGATAATCCTGTCTCTTATACACATCTAGATGTGTATAAGAGACAGGTGTGTGTGTGTGCGCACGCCTGTGGTCGCGAGGGTGGGGCGACCCCTCCCCCACCAACCAATCAATCTTTAATCAATCAATCAATCAATCAATCAACAAAGTGCGCCAGACGGAGTGAGCAGAGAGCTGTCTCTTATACACATCTAGATGTGTATAAGAGACAGGTCGATCAGTCGATCAGTCGATCAGTCCATCAGTCGATTGACTAGAGCAGTCAATCAACAGTTCCATGAACCAGTCAATTAATGAATCAGTAAAT